ATCGCCCAGCACGCTGGCGAAACGATGATGTTGCTGTGCTACCAGTTTATCGATACTGGCAATACTGATAAATTTGCAGTGTCAGGGTTCCCACGTATCGAAAAATTGAACCAACACCATACATTAAGGGGTGTGCGAATATTCTCAAGTTTCGAATAGCCAATCGAATAGCGTTATATTCGATTCGGTAGTGGTACGAAATGGCGAATACTCGAAATGCCGAATATTCTTTAACTGATAACTTTCGAACAATCGTTACTGACGGGAAAACCTGAAAGAAACAACGCGTTGGAAGAGCAAACTTTAGTTGGTGAATTACCAAGGCGCGCGTAATTCAAGCTTTCATGGGAATATCGAAGTGCTACACTCGCCAATAGATGAATGAACTTTTGCTTTAAACTCCACCTGTCACCGAAGGGACCATCCTCATTCCACTTATCAACGTGAAATTTATGATGTTCATTCACGAAATAACTTTTAGGTTTTATAGCGTTTCTGAAAAGATGATGACGAAGTAACACCTCCAGTACTGAAGTAAGTGTGTTATTCAAGTTACACCTAAGAAATGTGTCGAAACGCATGCATATAAGCGGTTAGAACCTCGAAAGCTCCTGGTCGCTGCATGCGGTACACGACCTTATTTCACTTTACATAAATTTGGCATCTTCGATGCTTAATTCTGACGTAATATGTTACGTTGTTAAATACTGTGGGTATTTGTTTGAAATAAAATGTTGCAGAACGTTAAGCATTTCGAAAAACTGTTCGACTAATATTCAATAGATATTCATATTCGATTCAAAACGTTCCTATTCATGTATATATACTGCTACTTACAGTTGCATACATTTATACGACAGCTGAGACGTCTAAAAGCCTAGATAAAAATTGCTCGAATGCAGAGGAGCAGTTTTCCAGGTGTTCTTCATGCGGGATTGCTTAAACCAGAGTGGACAAAAAGGCAACTTTGAGATGGCAGCGACCGAACCTATTACTTTCAAATTACGTGCTCGATGTTCTACCACCGATTGGGTAATGGTGACGGTTCTCATAGCATCCACTTTATTGGGTATATGTCAGCAATAAACCCTGGGATTATAAGTAATCGCCCCTCATTTAAATGACCGCAGGTATGAAATACTCTTAAACTTGAAGCACGTGCTAGCAGCGTGCTTTTTTAATAAGTGATAATGCTGACGGCATTGATTTCGCCTGACATGCATAGCGCCTTTCTACCTTCTTTTGCCTTCGCAATTTTGGCGCCTCTATGATCTATTCATACTGGCAAGTCTCTTCAATGCACGGAAATAAAAAAAATGGACACGCACTAAAAAAAAAACATGCCTGTATGAATACGTATAGAACCATCCCAAGCTTTCAATATGAGCCATATTTTAACAACCACTTCAGTGGGGGCCGGTATATGTTTGCGTATGAAACTTGTGTCAACTTGGGGCAAAATGAGAGCTAGATACATAGCTCATTAGACAAGCTGAACATTCTGCAGTCAGCATGTCTTGGCTTAACCTCAGCTAGTGTGCTTCTTTGCCGATCCTGTAAACACGTAGTGAATAGCATTGGAAAGATCGTGTCTCCCTACCTTACACCCGTCTCTATGGGAATTCTGTCACTTTCTTTATGGAGAACTATGGTGACTGTGAATCCACTGTATATTTCTTCAAGTATAATTATGTAGGGCTCGTCGATGCCCTGATTCAGTAGTGCCAGCATTACTGCTAATGTCTCGACTGAGTCAAACATCTTCTCGTAATCTATGTATGAAAGCTGCGTATAGGGGTTGGTTGTATTCTGCGCATTCTTTATTACAGGATGAATATGGTCTATTGTGGAGCAGCCTCTACAATATCCTGCTTGGTCCTTTGGTTGATTGAACTCTAATGTCGCCTTAATTATATTAGCTATTATTTTTGTAAATAGTTTGTAGCCAACAGACAGTAAGCTGTTAAGTCTTTAATTTGTCAACTGCTTGACACATTCTTTCTTATGAACTGAAACGATGTTGGCGTTCTTCCAAGATTCTGGTACCCTTCCCATCCAGAGAGAGACTTCGTATATAAGGTGGCTAACCAAGCTCATCATGGTTTATCTCAGGGGCAACTACTGGTTATAGCCTCGAGCTATATAGAGCCAAGAGTGGTATTACTACAACCACCTTTAAAGCAACGATTACCTTTCCACCACTTAGGATATCATGTATGCTTTTCATCTCTTCACTCAAAATATTAAAAATTTTTATATTAGCTGCGAAATGAATGTAGCACATCCACAAACTGCTTTACGAATTTACTTGTAGAACATCGAATCATTAGCACATAAGTTGTGGATACAAAAGACCCGAAATGTATACAGCACAAACATCAACTCTAAACCACACTCATTATGGAATGCAGAAGAATATATCCTACCACAAATCACCATGATCTCAAGCATCCTGGTGATATCAGAAAATTATAAAAGCCTTTCAGCTATCAAGAAACAGGAGTGATACTATAGAGCCGAGAATATTACATGCGCTGGCAGCAATGACACCCACTGGCCTTTGTGATAACAAGGATTTTTAGTACTTTCATTATATAAGCACGATGCGTGACATCACTGCAATTTATGACACGATCTATTCTTGCGTGTTCCAAACTGAACCTCGGTTGAAGTTTGCTTGTGCTGTCTACATCTCCATCTTTCGCAAACGAATCTTATGCGTTTCTCTATTATAGTTATGCGCCAACCTGCCCAAGTTGCATTGATTGTACAACAGGATGTTTTGTACTAGAAAAAAAAAGTGATCACCACATTTTGGTGTCCCAAAAATTGTGGCTAAACATAAGAGCGGCTCCATGCTTTAGAAACAGATGTAATTTAAATGATATTCTTGTGATTGGCTCAGTGCACTGTTGTAAGAATTTTTCAATGTTATTCTAATGCATGCTATTTGTAGAACTAGCCATATAACCGTAGAATGTTACAAAGTTAACCTTCAGCTGTTAAGTGTTACTGTTAAATCCCGAGCCAGTGCCCCCCCCCCCCCCTCCTTCGTTCTCAAAACTTGAAATTTAAGACAATGACGAAGCAAGCGTCCTATACACTTTCCTCACATGACTTCACCATTTTCGAAATGGTGAATCTATGCCAACTCAATAAAGCCCTTTACTAAAATCATGGGTGAGCATTTTAAAATTTTTAGTGGCTCATCCTCCGCCATATGAAATTTTGATCTGGACCAACTAAGGGCGACCACTCCAAATCTTGTTGAATTACTTTTCACTGAAGGGGAGGAGAGAGGGAGTGGCACTTGTGCTATCATTACCTTTCCGTATTGCTTTTTTTTCAATTTTCTGTTTAATTGTACCCAAAATCTGAAAAAAATTGGCTGCTGCTCCACTCAGTCTTGCCTGCGTGTACGTAACGAGAGGTACGATTCGTGTCCTGTTTATTGCATCCATCTCCACCTTGATAATCTAGCTTGTTGCCTCCTCTCGGTTTTGTTCAGGCCGACAAGACTAGCTTCTTTCCGTCACTGCGACTCATTTTAATATCTGCCGACGAATCCCACCAAGCCGCTTTCTCTGTATGTATGATGCAACGCCGGTCACGAGAACGTGTTGTTGGGCTATTTGGTTCATGCTAAACCCCTTTAGATGGAAAAAGAAGGAACAGGATAGAAGATTCTTCCTTTGTTAAGTTTGAACAGTCACAGTGCGACTGAACATGGTCAGGGTTCTACACACACGAGACACACAACACTGACTTTCAAATGAAAAATGCCGTTTCATCCGGCTCCTCCTCTGTTGTTATGCCAGATGGCACGGGTGAGTGGCGCTGCCTGCTGAGGCGGTTGCTAGGTCATGGCTCACTCTCAGTGTGGCCATGAACCGCAGCGAAATGGCAATAAGGCCAATGTAGCTTGCACTACAAAAGTTACAGCAGTGCCATGAAATGATGCACAAAAGCGGACTGTACTTCCCAATGGTATCTTTTCCTCACACACCAGTTTTGAGGAACTCAATTTCTGCCTGAATTTTCATTCACTTCAAAGATTCATGTGTTTCCTATGCAAAGCCAATAGCAGCTAGAATTTCTAAATGTGCTAGCTTGAACTGGGAAACCTGGTAATTATAATAATGTCCCTGCACGAAGTTTAGCAAATATAAAAAGAAACACCTACAAATATATAAGCTCAGTTTCTCTTGTAGCAACTTGTGCTTGACAAGACAGCTACGAAATTGTGGGTCAAATCAAGTTGAGACAAAGCAAACAATTTATTAAAAAGTTCCAGCTACAGATGGAATTTGTAGGCAGCAAACATTTCCTTGTTCTGGTGGGAGTGGCTGAATGAATGATCGTTACATCTTGATCACATTTGCATTGAACTGCTAGACATGAGGATTTCAGCTACTAGAGTACTATTTTTTCAGCTGGACTGCCACACATTTGCGTGACTAATGCTGCTGCTTCTTCATTAACATTCTGTTTGTAAAGATGCACAATGCTATGCTCAAAGTAAATCTTTCAATCTACCACAGCCTTTTTGATCACCGCTAGCTATGGACAATCAGAAAATATTTTGTTTATGAAGCTGTGTGGCATATATGCCTATTTCTGAACATCACGCAACATACTGACATATTGAGCTTGTAAAGGATGCGAACACCAATGCCATTTAAGCATTTCTTATATTGATGCTGCCTCGTGCTTCCAACTCGTACTTTGACAAAAGTTCGGTTTCTTCGGCGCTCACACACTTCACTTAGAAAATGCTTTGTAGAATGCGCTCTCGAGAGTGCGAAAACATTTTAACGCTTCTTCGCCACAGTCGTTATGACAAATATAAAAGACGGATAGTGTCGAGTGCCTTTAAAGCATTGCAGGTTTGACATGACTCGTTGCGTTTGACCAGTTAGTCACCTGCCTGCCGCTCTTCTGTCTCGTCGACAGTGTCACGAGGCTCCAGCTTTACTACCACATCCTTCAGCACAGGCTCTTCAGTCCGTCCAGACAAAGCTGTCCAGCAGAACGTTCCCAGTGTCCACTGCATGTCCTGCCGCGTCACCTTGTTTTGGTTCGGCAGCAGCCGAGTGCGACAGGATGCAACCATGGAAGCCCCAATCTTTGAATGCGGTCCTAATGATGTCCTGCTTCAGACAGTCCCACGACATGGTGATCAAGGACATGGCGAAAAGGAGCGTAGGCCTCGCCTCCTCCAGCTGACCGTTCAGTACGGTGAACCTCCTTAACAGGAATGTTCGATAGAGTTGCTTGAAATGTTTCAGTATGCTCACGTCCGACGAATTCCGGCTGCTCATGCTTGAGCATCTGAGCGAGAACAGGCGAGTGTTCTTGAAGTCGCTACTGACGGCTTCCGCCACATCTGGGGTCAGGAAGACGGCGACCACGCGTTTCCCGGCACGCATGCGTCTGTCTAGGACATCCAGGTACTGCTCTAATGCGCCCACAGGCATCCGCGAGAGGTCCTCCGTGCTGGCAAGGTACACGCAAGGTGGGCTGCAAAGGTTTCGTAGGTTCTTCGGGTCAATGCGGCGTCCCACGACCCGCGGAGCCAGGTTGTCCGAGCAGTCTTCGTTTACGCCCAGAATGACGCCGACACGCTGCCCGACCACCGCCAGCGTGGTTGGCGACCAGGGATCCCCGTCCGAATCAGGCTTTACGAGGTCGGAAAGGAAGGAGCGCACAGTAGAGTTGAGTGCAACCGATGACGTAGACGTTGCGCGGATGGTACTGCTCTCTGGCGTCAAGGTACGCGAGGAAGTCCTCTGGTTCCCTCCGGGTCCTTTCGCTGGAGACGGCGGCTCGCTGCTTCGCCGAAGACAGCCGCTCGCAGCGACCTAAGCCGAAACCCTTCCTGAAGCGCCACAGCCAGCCGTTGCTCGCGGTGAAGTCATCGATGCCCATGCTGAGAGCCACGGCTTGGGCAGTCTCTCGCACTTCCTGCGCGGTGGGCGCTTCAGCCACGTTACTCAACCAGGTTCACATGAAGTCCTCGAGGTTCTTGTGTTGCCCCGACTTCGTCGCACGGCAGGCCAGGCCGGAGCGTTGGACATCGGCCTCGATACGTTCGCGCTTCCCAACCACGGTAACCAGCGTGTACACGGGAATGTCCAGTTGCCGGCCAGCACTCGCCGCTTGCTTGTCGGGTTCTCGTCGACGAATTTCAGTATCATGAGCTTTTCGTCGAGCCACAGCGAACGTCGTTCGAGCGACATTACTGGAGTATCCCTTGTTCAGGCGAATGAATGATACGGTGCCCCTTCTCAAAGCGCGCGCAAAACCATTTCACAAACTTGACTACAAGATCGCATTGGCTTGGTGTTGGCTTCGTTTGTCCTCGCGGATGCTTTTGAAGCCAACTTAAGGGCATTTTGAGCCGAAGTCGGTCAACGGCAGACTGCCCTTTTTGAAAGGTTCATCGCATGTGGTAGAAGCAAAGATAATGTTCTTCAATTGATGTGCCCTTTCTTATGCTTATTCATGGAGCGTACAGAGTGGATGAGTTGTTCTCAGTTCCGCGAAACTTAGTGGGGCTTGTTAGCGATACCGTGACGACAATAATTTCTCGCTGCAGGGATACGGGTGAGTGGTGTAGATAATGCGTATGTGTTTCTTACATAAACGTTCGGTTGGTCCAGACGTTCCCATACTTCATTAGGCCACTGTTCACACTCCTATGTTGCCTTTCGGTGGTGGTCTTGACTTGAAGCGACTTTAATTGCGCTTCGACAGGAATAGTGCACGTGTCGTAATATCTATGATGCTCTTTTAACTCATTGCTCTAACTTGCTCTAATGCAGGACCTGGTGAAGATGACAGTTGTAATAACAAATTACAGCATGATAGTAGAGCGATGCGATGTTAATGAAAGCCAAACTAGTGGGACGAAATGGCGTATTTGTCGTTTACGCATGGCACTCCAAGTTCCATGCTCTGTATTATACGTATTTGGGACCATAGCCTCTATACTTTCGGCTATGGTGGGACTTAGACGCTATCACTCTGAATACGAGATGATGAGTTTGCCCGCGCTTTATCTAGGCCGGTTTACGTTAGGGCGCACTTTAAGCGGAAGTGACTAAATATGGAGCAGCAGTGCCAGCCATTATCTCTCTTACTTAAAAAAAAAATGGAAGGGGGGGTGGGGAGAAAGGTACTCAAAAAATAAATAAACGCGGACTTTTGCCGTTGATTTTTGTGAATTATTGTAGTTACCGGAATTCAGATTACAGTGGGCACTCGTGCTGTGTCTTCGTTGAGGATGTGTATCTATTTCGTTGTATTTTTTAAAATGGTAACTTGGATGAGCTTTCAATCCATAGATTACTAACTGACAAAAGCATAAATTTTCACCTGACAGCTGCAAATTTGATGACTCCATTTCCAAGAGTGATTGTCACGTCAGTACTTCAGATATCTTTGCTCACTAGTAAATGTGCAAGACTGGATAATATTGAAGACAAGAATAGAGTGCCACAAGGTTAGAATACTGGCGCAGTGGAAGACTGCATGCACACAGAACAGTTAGGTGTGCCTGGTAAAACACTGTGTAGGCAAGTTAAAGGGATACTGAACAAAATTTTGCCACCAATATTTTCAGCCAAATTGATAGATTGGGTCCTTAAATCGATAGAGAGAACCTTCATTCCAAGCAGAAACTAAGGAAAAATATTGAATTGAATGCTTTTTTCACGAACTGTCGCGTCTAGCAGCAGGGCCACGAACTAGAGGATGTGACGTTGGGTGACGTCAAACTCACCATAAACTGGCAAGCCAACAATGCCAGCCATCGCCCGCATCTCTAGACTCCCTTATCTTCCAATTCGGTTCCCAGAACCGGTATGAACAGCAACAGCAGCGAACAACGCATCTGGCAAAGGCAAAGCAGCAGCGCTTCTGTAAAAGAAAAAGAGGAGAAGGAAAGGACAGCTTGAGAAAAGGAAGAGGAGGACAAGAACACGTGAACCTTGCATGCACCTCGGTGAGTTCGCCGTCGCGCGCTCACAATCCATTAAAAACACAACGAACTGTTCAAAAATACGGGGAAGAAACTCAGTTTATTGGAACAGTAGCATCTTTCAAGTTTCGTCAGTTATTTCAATTTTTGTTCAGTATCCCTTCAAAGAACCCCAGGTGGTCGAAATTCCCGGAGTCCTCCACTATGGCGTCTCTCATAATTATGTGGTAATTTTGGGAGGCTAAACCCCATATCAATCAATCAATCATCAATCAAAACTGTGTAGGCATGGTTCCATTGATTATGACAGTTTTCAGTGATGTTTTGATTGCAATACAGGTCACAGCAGGTACTGTGCTCTCTCCAATTTTTTTGTATGAGTGGTGATACAATACCTAATTCCTCTGTTCACAAGTGCTGATTCATGTATTTGTGTCCTTACGTTGAGATGTTGCGGTACATAGTACCAGTTCCATTTGTGCAGGGAAGTCTCCAGGGTGAACCAGTTCTAGACCGGCTTCAATGCACTACCAAGTGCCTCATCAAACTGCTGTGAGGAATTCGATTTCAAAGCACTCATTCAAATAGTTAAAGGTAAAGTCCAATATGCTGAATAGTTTGACTGCAGACCACGTTGTGTATGTGTGTAGCTCCTACGAAGGATTTCCCAGCGTGCACTTGGAATTGTGAACTACTCAGTGCTGCTTCAAGGAGTGTTGAGGCAAAATATTGAAGGCGAGATAACCTGTAGGATAGACCTATGGGGACACACACGCAGCATCTGTGAATTATCAACAGGTAAAATTAGCAAGAAATATAGTAGGTATTGCTTTGTTATTTATTACATCTGGAAATTTTTTTGCATCTGCACTCTTCATCTGGAACATGAAGTGTATAAACTGCAAAGTACTCTGTGGTAAAACACTCATGGTCTTGCAAGAAAAGTTCTTGGCAGATCATGAGATGGCACCTAAGTGAAATTCTGAGCAGTGACGCTCGCTGAAAGCAGCAAAGACTGAACATGAATTGCAGCTTCTCAACAAGAGTGAAATAACATGTGGGAGCTATTAGCAGTGTAGTAGGTGATGGTCTTAAATGTGAAGCGTGAGGGATTGATATGGACATATGAATCCCTCGCGCTTTATTTTATCAGTATGGGCTCTGCCTCTCACTGTCATGCTGAAGGAACAGAAGTGGCACAAAATGATTCTAAACATAAACGGGCACAGTCACTCCTCTGGCTTCGTAAAACAACGTCACTTTACCGTAGGCATCTTTTTTTGAGATGAGGCTAGGATGTTGAACAGGCACCAGCCATTGTTTTAGATAAGCCAAGCTTTTCAAAACGTGTTCAGTCATATTTTTATGAAGTTTGGCTGCACTGGTTGTATGATTAGTACATTTTTCATTGTGATAATAATTATATGAACCTTACAGCATGTTCTTGCTGTCACTGATGTCCCGTGTAAAGATAAAATCAATAACAACGTCCTACTGCATGGTATATTCTGTGTGGATTAAGACATGCGATGCCTCCTGATGAATAGTTCTGAAGTAGAAAGAAAATGCAGTGGCTGTCTTTTGTAGAGCAAAAGGCACGTGGATTACAGGAGCCGGGGAGGGGGACTGAAGTAAAGAGGAGGCACTGCGTGCTTCTGTTGGGAAGTGTGTATACTTTGACTGACAGGGCTCCTTAGATCTTTTGACTGACACTCACAGTTGCTTCCTAGATCTTTAGAGGGGCCGACCAGATGGCTTGCATCTTTGTACATGCCATGCTCGTATTGAAAAGCTTACATTGAAGTCATACGCAGCACCGTGGTCACATAACATTTCGCTATCCAGTTTGATAGAGTGATTTTGCTATACTACTGTAGAACCTCTTGTATTATTTTGTGCTACCCTAGAACCTCAAGTGCCATTTACTATTTGCTTTCAACTTACATCTTTTACTCGTTTAGTTACAGGTTCATGGGACTGAGACCACTAGTGCTGAAAATTTTACCGACACAGGAAATGTGTAGCTTCAGATTGCTCTCTGCGCCTTCTTTTCGACCAATGGAGCAAACATCAGGGACATTTAGTCTGACCATAATGCTCTTGGGAACCTGAGAGGTACGATCTAAAAATTGTGTCTATTCATTTGTCACTGAAGCCTGTATGTTTCCCCTTGTTGGCTCCACCGATTTGAAATTTTCACTGCTACTGTCTTAGTTTACATCCACATATAGTGTGGGAGGTGTTGTTCTGCTAAACTGGGAACTTGCACTAAGCTGGAAGCCTAGTCAAGCTCACAGGAGCGTTTTCTTGCCATGCCCTTCTACTTGCTGAAGTGGAACATAAAATGATTGATGAATTTATTAATGTATTGATTCATTGATTGACTGGTGAACATGACGGTGCTTAGCTGCTGCATTTTCAGGGCAGGCAAATGCAAGAGTACCCGTGAGCTTAGGTGTGTACCCGTAAAAGCCCTCAGCCATCAAAAGTAACCCAACGTCACCCTGTACAGCGTTCCTCATGAATATACCATACCATTGACACAGAACCTCAGAATGTAGTGGTTATTTCCTTTTGTTGTGTCCTTGCAAAAGAGTTGATCCTAATCTGATTTTCCAGTTCTTGCCCTTTTGTTACTTGCAGACTGCATTAGCACAGTACTCGAAAGAAGAGAGTCTAATATTTGCGGGACTGTGTACGGTGCTGTTGTCATGATCTCTGCAGCACACTGAACTATAACGTTCTCTTCGAAACCTTTTGTGTATTGCTTTGATGCGCTTGTGTTAAAATTGTAAAGAATTTTTTATTATTAATATTATTTTGTATTGATGCTGGACCGCCTGTGCCCCTGCCAGTGCTCTGCTTGGTGATACCGCAAACACTTCGTGTATTTCTGGAAACATTCATGCTAAAAGTTAAACAGCACTATCTTGGCCGAGGCTGTCAAAGAGGGCACTTATTTTGAAAGGAACTATTTGTGCTGTGGAGAAAAAGTGACTGAAGTTTCATTTGGAAATCCTAATTATACGTACAACAGTTATCACCACAGTGTAAGAAAAGTAATTTAGGTGTAGACACTCCGCCTGAAGGAGCGTCCAAATAATGTTCACTATTTTCAGTCCCTTTAGGCCCCCTCGTCGCCTTCCACGTGACCGCAGCCGTCATATGTACTATAAATGACGAACTGCACACGTAGCATCCGTAACGGTGTTGCGTGTGGGAGAACACCGAAGAGGCAACTACAGTGTTCGCCACACTAGTGTTTCTCGGTCGCTCAAAAGCAGCATGCGTTCCTAGTGTTAGTTGCTAGCGCACATGGTGCTTTAAAAAGATGCACAAGGAGAACAAAGAAGTGGAACCCACGTCTGCCTCATCGCGCTGAGTCCCTTCAGGCCCCCATGTGGTAGCACCCCTTGGTTTTTGTGCCAGGATGCTGCAGCCAGTCCATGTACTAAAATCAAACATTATCTGGATGCGGTCTCCATTTTGTCGGGCAGAGAGTGTACACTCCCGAATAATTTTCTTACACCGTGGTTATTACACATTTACTTTAGTGAGCTTTACTGCAATTCAGCGGCTTTATGCGACGAAGCATACCGCTAGCAGGAAGAACTTTCACGCAGGAAAACATGATCGTACTACCTGTCCCAAATGAGCCTTCACAACGCCAAGCATCGGTCACGGCACAAACACCTTTTCACAATAGCATTCACCCTTGCACTAAAAAAGGCACCTCTCCAAACGAGCTCACATGGAAAACCTGGAATGTGTGAGCAGTTGGAGATATCATGCAATTTCGTGCAAGATGGCTACAGCCAACTAAAGGTTCATAAAGGACTTTGCACTTTCCTCTGTGTACTGTGAAAAAGTGACTTAAATAAAAAAAGCTTGAAAGCCAGGCACAAGCCAATATAAAGCATGTGGAGGTAAGGGACATTGAGTTTGCTACAGTATTTAATAAAGGGAGCTCTGGCACTGTGATAATTTGGCCACTATGGAAATTATGGGCAGTACAATAAACCTCATTGTAGCGAAGTTCATCTTACTCCAGGATAAGTTCGTTATATACAATATTTCAATATATCTGGGTTTGTTGTACAGTTGAATGTCATTAATTCAAACACGGTTAATTCGAACTTCCCGTTAATTCGAACTCACGCTGAGGTTTCGTCAAAGCTGTGTGTATTCCAACGGGGGAAAACGCCCTGTAAATCGAACTTGCGAGAACTTGCCACGGTTAATTCGGACATACTGCCCTCCGAAAATGCTCTCAGCACCACACTCTACCCACGGCATCACCTCCCACATCTCAACGCTGCCTGCAAAGGAAAAGAAAAGTAAAGAAAAAGCCACAATGGAATGTTTGCTCTCTCTCAAATGCCGATATGCAACGTGCCTGTGCCACGCTTCTCCCTTTTCCATCCCTGTCACGTAAAGACCCTTCTCTTTTCAATACCGCGTGCAAAAAGAGAGAAAGAGAGGGGAAAAAAGACGGCTGTCGCGGAGTGTTGGCTCTCACACGCCAGTGCCAGTGCCTCTTTGTCGTCCCTGCTACGTAGACCCTTCTCCTCTCAACGACGTGCAGGAAGAGAGCAAAAAAAAAAAAAAAAAAGCTGCAATGGAATGGTGGTTCTCTCTCAAATGTCGATCTGCTTCTCTCCTCGTGGAGACGCTCCTCCTTTCTTGTGATGTGCTGGGCACGCTGAGGCTGCTTAGTGGAGACCCAGTCGTTGTTGTCGTCTATAGAGTGTGTCGCGTGCAACTTCTTTTGCTAGGAGAATGCTGATGCCGAAGTAGAAATGCTTTGCAAGCTGTGTGCGAAATTGACTCGCTGCAAGGCAAACGTGTGCAGACGCGCATCACGAATTACTTCAATTAATCACCGATGTCCTGTGATTTGTGAATAAATGTAAGTCTTCAAAAACTTCCCCTCGTGTGTTAGCTCAATGCACATGCGCCACTGCATGGTGAGCCCTCCGTTCTGTTAGCTTTCATTAATTCCAACTTCTTTTAAACTGAACAAATTTTCGGGCCCCTTCGAGTTCGAGTTATCGAAATTTGACTGTATTAAGGTATGAGTGTACATTCAATTGCTTAATATTCGTGCCTGTTGCTTCCAATGTACTTGTAACTTTGCCTATTGCTGCGTTTTTGAGTTTGTTTTGGATAAAAGAATGGATCATTGGGGACTTTGTGAGCTGATTTGAATTGGCGAGTCTGAAAAGGTTAAGGCGCTGAAGTGGAACTGCTGAAGAGTTGCTGAACTTTAATCGCCGACAATTATGAATAAGTTACTTCATTAACGTGTAATTCTTTGCAACTTCCACATTTGGGAAGTTCTAGCAGAAGGTTGCATACCATGATAAGCAAGGGAATTAATTTTCACTGTCATTTTTTCTGCAGAACACGCTGCAGGTGACACGGTCCGACCATGACGTCAAAGAGCTGCTGAACAATGAGGAGCATCAGCTCCTTATGCAGCTCAAGGAATTACCCTGCGAAAACTACACCCACCATCACGTCCTTGACATGGAGGCCAGCAACGTGGCTGCGGCACAGGCCGCTGCCGAGACCAATCACGCCTGTGCCACCCACCAGGCTCCCGGCATCGTGAAGTGGACCAGACAAAAATGAAGCTACCTGTGACAAGTCAAGGTCTGCACATTCTTTTCATGATACCACAAACCCTACCTTATTGAGCCACACTTCATGGGAAGCCATTCAATAGTTGTCTATGTTCTACTCACATCTGTGAATTAGGTGCATCAAGGATTACTTCACAGGAGCTGCATTGCCAATCACATAATACAGTTGAACCCATTTATGAGAGACACTGGTGTAAGAAACAAATGGGTGTAAGGGACACCAGTTTGTCTACCGCAAAATAAGGGTTGATCAGACCCTGCGTTCGTTCATGGGTCCATCCATGCATCTGTCTGTGTCCGTTCGTTCCATCTATTGAACACTCCAATCCCATTATCTCGCATTTTTTTATCATATCCCCATATAGAAGCACGCCATGTTGACCTTCCAACAACTAAACGAAAGGTGCACACACCACACTTTCTTACGCTTGCGCTTCGAGTCTACTTCCCATCTCACCACCTTGAGTTCATGGTTTATACATATGGTTCACTGTATTGGGCACTGCGGCCCACTGCCGCTACACCTTTCTAAAACAGAGGTTA